CACCGCGCCCGGCCAGAAGAAAAACTTTTAAAAAATTAAAAATTAAGGACGTGTTCGTGACCCGGGTTCCGGAAGGAATCCCAAGCGGCTGTGGCGACCGCCAAGGAGCAGTGGGTGCTGGTGGAGATGGCACAGGCGCTCTGCGAGGCACCTGCTTACCATCTTATTTTGGAAGGGTTTCTAATACTCTGGATAATCAGATTTCTTTTCTCTAAGACTTACAAGTGACTAGAACGATCTGATCTTATAGTCAAGGAAAAGGAAGAACTGATTGAAGAGTGGCAACCAGAACCTCTTGTTCCGCCTGTGCCAAAAGACCATTCTGCCCCTCAACTACAACATCGTTTCAGGTTAAGTGAGCACCTGGTCTTTGAGAATCTTCTCTTGAGACAGCTCTCTTTGGTTCCACGACTCTTTCATCCACTTTGTGTGGCCTTGCACCCGTGGCTGCGTCTGCCTCCTCCACAGTGGCATATGTGAAGAACCCAAAGCCCCTGGAGCGCTTGATGTTTGGATCCCTCATTACCACACAGTCCGTGAGCGTTCCCCATTGCTCAGAATGGCTCCTCAGCCTGTCATTGGTTGTTTCAAAGCTCAACCCTCCAATGAAGAACTTCCTCAGCTGTTCGGCTCTTTAGGAGACTCTGACTTAGACATGATCACAGGGAGCAGAGAGACTTTAATGATGCTTCTTCAGTGGCATCCACGGACAGAAACGACTATTAATTATTTTTGACACGGAGTTTCGTTCTTGTTGCCCAGGCTGGTGTGCAATGGTATGATCTCAGCTCACCACAAGCTCTGCCTCCTGGGTTCCAGCGATTCTCCTGCCTCAGCCTCCTGAATAGCTGGGATTACAGGCATGCGCCACCATGCTTGGCTAATTTTGTATTTTTAGTACAGATGCGGTTTCTTCATATTGGTCAGCTGGTCTTGAACCCCCAACTTCAGGTGATCCACTCGCCTTGGACTCCCAAAGCGCTGGGATTATAGGCATGAGCCACTGTGCCCAGCCACAGATATCAATTTTTACTCAATTCTTGGTGTGGTCAAAAGTGAAGGGATGGGCAGGATGAGGGGCCCAGCAGCCACTTGGGCCAGGTCAGAGGTAGGAGGAGGAGCTGGGACCTGTGACATGTAGGTGGCCTGAGGCAGGGAGTCTCAGCAGGTGGGAAGACATCGGGGCAGGCTGGCTGGCACTGCAGTTTACCATATCTTCTTTATTCTCCCATGTCACTTTTTCAGTCTCCTGGATTGTGATGTTCTACCTAATGCCCCCATGTTGTCCGTGAATCCTTCCAGGGATAGGCGGGGACGTTTAGCGGTGAGGGCCCCTCGTCTCTCCCCCACCTCCATTGCTGGGGAGAAACCAGTGGCAGCTGCTGGGGTTGCCCTGACCGTTTTGATTGTCGGGAACTGTGGCTGGCAGCTCTGGGTGGAGAAGAGCTGCTTACTACAAGAGCTGCAGGATCCTTGCGCTGGGCCTCCTTCCCCCACATCTGCAAGCCAGAGGAGCCGGGCAGGTGGTCTTTCTCCAGCGCCTGAGAGGCCGCCTTCTCTGGCCAATGGGAGCAGCTGGGAACTGGGCCAGAGAGCACTGCTGGAGCTGGGTCAGGCTTGCCAAAGGGAAGGACGCCTCCTGCAGGGCTGTGTGCGCTGGGTACTCCATGGTCCTTGGAGTGAAAACTCACTGCAGGCACCTGGGCCTTGTCAGTCCTGTTCGTTTCTGTCAGGCTTCTGCTATGGACATTTCCCTTTAAGGCCCTGGGGCTGCAGTCGAGGGAAGCGAGGTTTCACTGAGTCTCCAGGGTTCTCGAGGTGGATGCTGCTCCCCCATTGCTACAGGGCCCCCCTTTCTCCTCCTCCTGCCCCTGGGTCTCTACCTGATCGTCCACCTCCACTGGTTCTTCCGGCTCTTCTTCTGCCCTCACCTCCGTCTTCAGGATCGGGACGGAATTCCAAGACCTGTTCCCCGGCCCTTGTAGCGAACGCAGTTGGAGGGGAAACTTGAGTCTTAGACGAGGGATCCTCACGGGGCTGACACATGCGAGCATCATGGAGTTGCGTGCAGACAGCATGGGTTTCTCCCTTGCTGGGTGGGAGGGGGGGCTCCAGACCAGAGGAGGCAGGTCCCGCAGTAGGGCGCTCGAGTTCGGGGTGATATTCCAGCTGGCTGGAAAACAAGGCCCAAGACCTCGCTGAGGGTTCAAGAAGAATCTAGAAGAGTGTAGGGCTCCCGGGGCAGGCACATACGCATGAGCTGTGGGGTGAACCCGGCGAGCCGAAAAGTCCACATGGACAAAAGGAGACCATTGCTGTTGCTACCGCGCCGGGGCCTGCAGTGGAACCAGGAACGAAATCTGCTTAGGAAATTTCCCATATTGCACAAGTTGTGCGCGGACAAAAATCACGGTCAGAAATGGAGAGGTTACTCCTGAGTCACCCACTAGTCTGTGGCCACGAGGGCACTGGGCAGCTGGGCTCTTATGACATCTCAATGGGGCTGGTGACAGAGCAGGGTGTGGGGCAGTGCACAGGACCCCAGCAAGGGCACCTACAAGTGGAGTCAAAGGGCAAAGGGCAAGGCTCCCCACCTGTCCAGCTGGACTCTCTAGCCCCAGGGATGTCCTACTCCTGGGGGCAGGTGTGTGGCCCTGGCTGGGCCCCGCTGTGGGGCTGTGGGGGATGTGGGGCTGTTTGCCAGAGCCCTTCCCACCTGGTGCGTGGCCCAGGCACTGGCTGGCACCCAGTGGCCATGTCTTGGCTGGCCTTGTCCCCTGGGTCACAGGGCCAGACTCTCCTGGAAGCAGAGCGCAGGACTAGCCAGATCCTGCCAGGCACCCCTAGGGCCTCTTCAGCGCCTCTGTGCCTTCCGGAGCCAGGCCCGCCTTCTCCCTTGTTGTCCTGGCCTTGCCAGGCAGATTTCAGGAGAGAATGCATGCCCTGGCTTGACTGACTGCCGCCCCTTACCACTTCCCTTCCCGGCAGGCAGGGTCTCCACTTCTGTTTACAAATTTGCCTGAGAACTTTCCTCAGGTCGTTTGGGTGACCATGACCCAGCCAGACTTTGAACCCAGGCTATGTGATTCCACAGCTGCCACTCTGGCCTGTGTGCCCACTCATCGTGGATACAGCATGTATTCTTAATTTTCCTGTAGTCCTAGGGTACTAGGCACCGTGGCATATCTGTAATAAGCACATACACACATAGAAGGAGGTCTTCAACACATAAGTTGACCATGGCCCACTCTGGGCTCCAGTCCTCTTCAAAGATGTAGGGCAGGGATCACCAGCTGTCCGCACAGCACCATCCCACATTGTGCTTCTAATGGAGACTTTCAGCCCAGATGTTCTTTCTCTAGTGGGAAGAATCTAAGTACGTAAAGACGATGTTCTAGATCAGCTTTGGTCTATCCTGAAAGAAATTCACCAGTGGATTATTCCATATAGATAAAAGCCAGTTTCTCTAGTCTTCCTGGATGTGTCTAGAAAGCAAGTACATTATTTTTTTGCAAGTTATAGTGGATCAATATATTGGATTAAAATGTGATCAACATAATTTCGTTATTGTGAGCATGCCAGCTGGGTTCAGTCTTCACCACACATTATGATACTCTAGATTTTCTTATGGCCAAGAGAAAAACATACACTTGGTTGTCGGGACTAGGGAAATATGTATGAAAAACCATTCGGTCACTCCACATCCTTTCATTAGAGAACTGAAACCATCTATATTCGAGGATATTACTAAAAGGTAAGAAGTTACTTCTGTCATTTTGTTAACTGTTTTCTGGTTGTTTTGTAAGTCTTTTGTTTCCTTCTTCTTTTACTGTTTTCTTTATAGTTTGGTGAGTTTCTGTACTGATAAGCTTTGATTCCTGTCTTCATTTCATTGACATAGCTGATATAATTTTTTCCCTTTGGTTACTCTGTAGCTTACAATTAAAAATTTATAGTTATGATAGACTATTTAAAGCTGATAAACAGTTGTGATCACACATGAACATGCTATACTCCCTCTACATCCCACACCAATGCACAAAATTTATGCTTTTTTGCCATGATTTACATTGTTCTGTGTTGTGTATTTGTTAACAACTCATTGTAAATATAAAAATAAAGGATGTTCAACTTTCTCAAGGGTGAAAAAAATAAAAAAAGAAGAAAAAGTATTAAAAAAAAAAAAAAACAAGAATAAAGTAATTTATCAAAATGGACCCAAGAAGAAATTTAAAAATCTAAATAGCTTCATATCTATTAAATATGTTGAATTATTACTTATTTTTATTTATTTATTTTTATTTTTTGTAGAGACGGGGTTTCTCCATGTTGGTCAGGCTGGTCTCAAACTCCCAACCTCAGGTGATCTGCCCACGTAGGCCTCTCAAAGTACTGGGATTACAGGTGTGAGCCACCACACTCAGC